ATTTGTGTGTGAGAAAGAGATTGCTCTCAAAGGGTAGGGCGTGCACATTGTCACAAAATGCAGAAATGGATAGCCATCCACAAGGACTATCACTTTTTGGAATACGCCCCCCTCCCCATCTTCCATACGCTCCTGTTTTCACAGTATAATTTATTTCCAGTGGACAGAAAATCTCCCTCCAATTCTGTGAGTTGAAGTTGAATCCTCTCATCCACAATGACAACTGCCAAGGAGTGGTTTGATTTACAGTGTGCCCACAACAGCTTTCCTTGTCACATTTCTTTTGATTTGTGGGTGCTCTTCCATATTGCTTTCAGTCTAGAATACTTGTTTTTGGGGTTTTGTTTTGTTGCTGTTGTTGTTTTTTAAAAAAGCACTGTTGGCCAAGCAAAGGCAGATGAAATAATGTACCGTATTTTTCGCCCTATAAGACGCACTTTTCCCCCTCCAAAAATGAAGGGGAAATGTGTGTGCATCCTATGGGGCGAATGCAGGCTCCTTGGCTTCAGGGATAGCAACGGCGCTCCGGAGGCTTCGCGTTGCTTCCGCTGAAGCCAGGAGAGTCTGCTCTTTGAGGCTGGCAGTGGGGGAAAGCAGCGCTTCCCCCATCGCCAGCCCCAGAGGATGGGGGGCAGCGGGAAGGCGTGTGATGCCTTGCCGCTACTCTCCAACCCAGCTCCAACCCGGCTTTGAGGCTGGCGGTGAGGGAAAGCAGCGCTTCCCCCATCGCCAGCCCCAGAGGATGGGGGGCAGAGGGGAGGCGTGCGACACCTTCCCGCTACTCTCCAACCCGGCTTTGAGGCTGGCGGTGGAGGGAGTAGGGACTGACTGGCGGAGTCCGTCCCTTCTCGCTCCTGTGGGCTTTTGCGGGAGATGGGGGAATTCCCCCACCTCCTGCAAAAGCAGGCAAAAGCCGTGCGCTCTTTAAAGGGGCTCCGCGGCTTCTGCAGGCTTTTCTAGGAGGTGGGGGAATTCCCCCACCTCGTAGAAAAGCCCGCAGGAGCCACACACCCTTTGAAGAGCGTGCCGCTCTTGGGGGCTTTTCCCGGAGGAGGGAGGAGGGACTGACTGGCTGTTTCAGTCCCTTCTCCCTCCTGGTCGTAAAGCCCGCAGGAGTCGTGCGCGGCTCCTGTGGGCTTTTGCGGGAGGTGGGGGAATTCCGCCACCTCCTGCAAAAGCAGGGAGAGCTGCTCCCAGAGCTGCGGGGGGGGGGGAATAATATTTTTTCCCTTGATTTCCCCCCTTGAAAACTAGGTGCATCCTATGGGCCGGTGCGTCCTATAGGGCGAAAAATATGGTACATAAGGAAAAGAGAAGGAGGAGGAGTTTGGATTTGATATCCCGTCTTTCACTCCTCTTCAGGAGTCTCAAAGCGGCTAACATTCTCCTTTCCCTTCCTCCCCCACAACAAATACTCTGTGAGGTGAGTGGGGCTGAGAGACTTCAAAGTAGTGTGACTGGCCCAAGGTCACCCAGCAGCTGCATGTGGAGGAGCGGAGACGCGAACCCGGTTCCCCAGATTACGAGACTACCGCTCTTAACCACTACACCACACTGGCTCTTATAGAGCAATTATAATAGCAACCCTTCCCCCGCCCCGCAGCAGAAACATGCAATGGTCTAATATTCTATTTCCAATAGCAGCAAGCCACATAAGTTGGCCAAACCCTGTTCATCACTCCACCTGGCACACAAAGATGTGCATCATCTGAAAGTGGTGGTTCAATTTAATTATCACGGCTAATAACCACTGATAACCTATCCTACATGAATTTGCCTAATCCTTGCTAAAGCCATCCCCAAGTTGTGTGGCAGTGAATTTCTTAACCTGGTTATACAATGACAGTGTTATAAGAGAAAACTGCTCCCTTTCCCTTATGGGGTATCCATGAGCCTATATAGAGTCCTTACGTAGGTTCGCTATTGGTAGGAGATAACAGAGGCCAACCAGAGAATATTGAGAAGCAAAGCAGCTAGTAAGCCTGGTCTTTATTAACTGTTGCAACAGGGTCCTCACTCACCACATCGCAGGAGGGAGGAGGAACCCCGAACAATGGTACGCAAGCCCTTATACATGCTTTTGAAATTGCCCACCCTGTAGCTCAAGAACACTCCTTAAAACATCATACATACACCACAGGAGTTGGGCTACAGCAGAAATACATCACAGTGGGCAGTCTACAACAGAAATCCTGTCTGGCAGGATACTGATAATGGTCACTAATTGCTTTACCTGGCCAGCCTGGCCATTCCTTTTGAGGTGCTAAATACTTAGTTCCTGAATCCAGGTCACAGGCTTACCCTATTCACACACAGATATGCCCTTAAGACAGGTTTTGTGAGCAAAGAGACAATGAGGAGCTTTTCCCATTTCCTTCTTCACTAGAGAGTATATATGAGTTTACTGGAAGAGTCAAAATGGCTTCAGGATTGCTCTCCTGTACTATTTCAGACACGTGGTTTATATACTTATGTATGCGTTTGCCTTGTAAATTTATGATTTATATATATAAGACCTTAGAATTCCAGGTATCCCAATATTGGCAGAGAAATACGGATGAGGGCATGCCTCAGTTCTCCCTCTGTGCCTTCTGTGACATTGAAAAGAAAAGCGAGGAGCATCACCCTCTCCTCTCCCAAGCAACAGAGGGGCTAGCCAATTTCATTTCCAATATGACAAAGGCATTCCCCCTCACCAAATGATTTTAACTAAATCAATTCATTTTCAGTTAGAAGGTGGGGGCTCTAAATTTTGAGGAGACCTATCCACAGGTAGGGAGGAGGGTGGTGCTGTGGGTTAAACCACAGAGCCTAGGACTTGCCGATCAGAAGGTCGGCAGTTCGAATCCCTGTGACAGGGTGAGCTCCCGTTGCCAACCTAGCAGTTTGAAAGCACACCAGTACAAGTAGATAAATAGGTACCGCTCCGGCAGGAAGGTAAACAGTGTTTCCGTGCACTGCTCTGGTTCACCGGTTCAAGCGGCTTAGTCATGCTGGCCACGTGACCCGGAAGCTGTCTGCAGACAAATGTCGGCTCCTCGGCCTATAGAGCGAGATGTGCGCCACAACCCCAGAGTCGTCCGCTACTGGACCTAATGGTCAGGGGTCCCTTTACCTTTACTATTCACAGGTAGATTGTCTGTTTGGCCATTTTATGAGCTAAGTACTTCAACATGCCATTTTTAGCAACAAATCGGAAGGGAACAGTAACCCCTGTGATGCCTTCTGTAAGTGTCACAACAAATGTTGCGGGGGCATTTAGTACATCATAGCAACTTCCCTGCAACGAAACTTAAAAACCAACAAAGCCTGCCCCAAGCTTGGATGAGATGCAAAGTCTGGTGGCCACTTACATCCCGAGACACGTCACAAAAAGAGGTAGAGTTCCAAATACCCTTTTCTTTTTAAATATTTAAAATCTTTATTGCATTTTTCACAGCAATAAAAATAAATCTGATGTTAACCTTAGCAGGCAGAGGGTCTTCTCGGTAGTGGCGCCTGCCCTGTAGAATGCCCTCCCATCAGATGTCAAAGAAATAAGCAATTATTGGACTTTTAGAAGATATTTGAAGGCAGCCCTGTTTAGGGAAGCTTTTAACATTTGATGAATCATTGTTTTTTAATATTCTGCTGGAAGCCGCCCAGAGTGGCTGGGAAAACCCAGCCAAATGGGCAGGGTATAAATAATAAATTATTATGATATAGCACACATAGCCATGAGGCAGAGTGAAGCAGCTGCCTCAGGCAGCAAATTCTGAAGAGTAGAACAGGGTTTTGAATTGTGTGCCTTGTGTTCTGTCCTGCAGCCCCTAAGCTAGTTTGTTGCCCTAGGGTATAGTGGATGACTGCTCCATCACCGGTGCTGAAGCAAGAGTCAACTACCAGTCTAGTCAGAGTTTGTGCACAGAATGGGGAATGCACCCTCTTTTCCTTTGCCTCAGGCAGCAAAATGACTTGGGCCGCTCCTGTGATTACATATCACAGAGTTCTTGCAAGCTAACAATTAGGTTCTTGCACATAGTCTTAAATCTTTCCAAAGGGACCTTTCCAGCTCTGGAGGCTTGGAAATAAGAGATGCTGTATTCAAATTGCAGACAGTACTCTTGTGTCTACTATGGCTCCACTCTCTCCTACTTGCCTGCTTAGATGCTGGCTCAGTTCCTTGGATAAGGCGATCTGCCGCTTATCCACACCTTGACATTGTTTTTACACCAATTTAACACTCTGAGCTGCCTTCCACCTGGGAGATGCCGTTTGCTGAAGGTGCTAATCACTCTCCCTCAAACGGAGCCCCAGTGGACTCCAAGTCCCAGGATTCCCTGGGGGAAACTGAGTTGCTTTGAAGGCTGGTGTAGATAAGACACAATCACTCCTGACAATTGCGAAGGTGTTTCTTGGAAGCTGAGGGCGCTATTGATTTCCCATGACCCAAAGTATGCCCAAGAGCAATTTTGGCTTGCTTTTTTCCCCACGCTTGGACGGCGGGGGGAAAAAATGATGGAACGTGGGTCACTTTAAAAGGCAAACGCCATCCTATCGCCTTTTGGCTAAGACTGCAATGCTATGCGTGATCATAGCGGCGTTTGCTTCCGAGTAGACACGAGTCAGCTTTTCTGGGATCTCTTAAAAAAAAAAAGTAGACTTGTGCAAGGAAAGCAGATTTGTGCAATGCATCAGAAAACGAGTTCTACTAGTGAGAAACGGTCCTGGCATTATGTTCCCCACCCCCACGAGCAAAAGACTATTTTAGCAGCTTATGGAAGACCAGGCGCTTAATCCTGGAGGCATTGGGGAGGAACCCCAGGGAGAGGTCAGCCGAGCGCTGTGTGATGCCTTTCATTCCCTCCCCAATTCTCCTTTTTTCGCGGGCGGGGGGGGGAGAGGAGGGGCTGCTTGCTTGCTTGCTTTTCTCTCTGCTGCGCCCGCCTCTTGTCAGCCCGATTGTTTGTTGTGCTTGCTTCCTCTCCCCGCCCCCCTCTCCTCCTCCTCCTCCTCCTCAGGCCACCGCCGGCCGGACAGCCCACCTCGCCGGCTCGGAGCCGCCGCCGCCGCCGCCTCCTCCGCTGTCTCAGCCGCTGCCCCGGGAGTCGTTCGCGCCGAGCCATGGCAGCGCCTTCCACTTGCCGGACTCGTGCTCGTCGGCCTCTGCGTCCCAGGCGCAGCAGCCGCACTCGCCGGCCCTCTACTACTCCAGCTCCACGCTGCCGGCGCAGCGGGTGAGCTCGCCCTTGTCCATGCAGCAGGTGGGCTCGCCCACCAAGCTCCAGCGGGCCGGCTCCGCCTCCGAGAGCGCCGCCGCCTCGGGCTACAGCACCACGCAGCGCGTCTCCTCCCCGAAGCAGTCGCCCAGCCGCCTGGCCAAGTCCTACAGCACCAGCTCGCCCATCAACATCGTCGTGTCGTCGTCGGGCCTCTCGCCCTCGCCCATCCGGGTCACGTCGCCGCCCACCATCCCCTCCAACATCTCCTCGTCGCCCATCCACCAGCTCAGCTCCACCATCGGCACCTACGCCACGCTGTCGCCCACCAAGAGGCTGGTGCACCCCTCCGAGCAGTACGGCAAGCACTCGCAGGAGCTCTATGCCACCGCCACCCTGCAGAGACCCGGCAGCCTCGCAGGTGAGTCCCCGGCTCCCGGGAGCGCGCTTGCATCCAGGTCTGGGAAATTGGGGGGGGGGGGTTCCGGTGTAAAAGGGGAGAACAAGGTAGCTGTGTGTGTGTGTGTTTTTTCCCACCACTCCCCAAATGCTGCTTTAAGTGGTTGCCGCTGGCACTAGTGTGTCCTCCTTAAATCTCAGGCGTCTGAATAGCAAATAGGGGACCCGTGAATACTTGGAGGTTACCTGCTCCTGATTTCAGCGGGACTCGCTGCTAAGTAAGTGTGTTTGGGGACTGCAGCCTTCGACACCGATTATACCTGGCCATTCCTTCGGTTTTCGCTCCCCTACCTACTTGCCTGATTGCTCTAAATGAGGGAAGTTGGTCCTGCTGTGAGCCCATCTAAATACAGCACAGTGCATCTTAATTGCTGATTATTAAATTCACTATCATTGATTTACTGGAACTTTTCGTGGATAGTTCTGCATTTTCCCGACATTGGACATAAAACTACTTTAAAGCTACTTTAAGAAAAAAGTTTTAAATGTAAGGACTGCCTAAATTCATTTAATGGATCCACTTGTCTCTTCCTTTCAGCTGAGATGAAGACGTGTTGCTGTCTGCATGCTTTCCCCTAACATAAAATTTGGAATGTTCTGATTAGTATCAATTATGTCAGTGTTTCCTGCCCTTAGTCAGGAAACGTTTGTTTTGTTTGTTTGTTTGTTTTTAAAAATGTTATCCTGGGTCTTCCTAATCTGATAACTAAACTGTGTACTTTTTCAGTGGGATTTTTTTGTTCTTATAAAAATCATTGGAGGTATATTGCTATAGCAACAACTGTCATGCTCCTGTGTTCTTTCTAATCTACATAGCTGGATCTGAAAATAAAGAAAAGTCAGATGGCAGCAAAATTGTGTTAATATCAGAAATATATTCTGGTGGCTCCCCTTTGCAGGGGGGGGGGAGACCCACCCATGAGATGATAACTGTTATTCTATCATTGTTGCATGTTGCCAGAGAGAGCTTATTAGGTGAAGTTAAGTAACACATTGATCATGCATTATTGTAAATCGTGTTCCCTATATGTAACTTGCTAGACTGCTCCTCCAAGATTACTGGGCAAAGAGATGCTTGTAGAATAAGCACTATTAATCATTGATGTTTTGTGTCCTATGCACACTTCCTTGGGAATATTTCCTGTTCATTGGAATATAAGAAGCTGTCTTTTACCAAGTCAGACACCGGCACTGTCTGTACTGACTGCAAGGGCTTCAGATATTTTCAGCATGCAAACAGAGGCTCTGCCACCGATCTATGGTCCTTGCCCAACTCAGTGAGTCTTGTGTCTGAGGGACATGTATTTGCCAGTGACCACCATCGCCAAGTATTTGTCGTGGCTCCAAGACGAGCAAAGGGCTTGTTTCTCCAACATGCTGCTATTTCCACTTTCCACAGAGATCCCTAGAAGGTTGGAAGCATTGCAAGTGAATTCTTCAGTTTGCATGCTATACTGCTTGCACAGGAAGATAGGAAGCTTCCTTTCACAAAGTCAGACCATTGGACAATCTAGGTCAGCATTGTCTTCACGAGGAGTGGGAAACCTTAGGCTCAGGGGCAAAATGTGGCGCTCTGGGCCAGTCTGTCTGTCCCTCAGACTCTCGCCATGTCACACTTTCTCCCCAGGCTATATCTTTCACTGGTCCTTCTCCACAAGGTCTTTTGTGTGGTAAGAACGTGTCCTCTTATCCCTCTTGCTTGCCAGGATAGAAGGATGTGCACAGAAGCCTCTGACTCTTGTGTGGCTAGAATGTAGTCTGCTTTTCTCCACCTACTTTTGTTCTTCTGGCCACAACCCCTTTAACTCTTGGCCTTGCCCACAGAACCAGCAGGTTCCCATGAGGCTGAAGAAGGCCTCCCATCCTTGGTCTACACCAGAAGTTGGGAACCTTTGGCCCACCAGACCAGTTTGGTCAAGCCACACACACCTGCCTTGCATCTGACACCATATATGACATCTGTTGTGAGGCAGATAAAGTTGCGCGGGGGCGGGGGGGGGGAGACATTCCTGGGCACTGCCAACCATTGGTGTCTTCAAAGCCCTCCAACAAGACCTTTTGAAACTCCAGCTATCAGCTTATTGTTGGGCTCTCAGAGTGCAGCACCAGGCCATCTGCAGATACTGATAACCAGCTGATTTTCAGTGCTTGAAGGGAGCTTGCAGAGACACAGATCAGCTGGTTGTTGGTGCTTTGCTCTGTATCCATGACAGTCATCTGGGGACTTCCAAGTGCTAGAAGCTGGAAGAAGAAGCTTGGGTACAAAATGCTGGAGGAGGCTCTTGGGACCAAAACCACTTTCTTGCAGAGAGAAAAATGTTCCATTCACCCCTCTGCAGAGAATTCAAAGGGGTTCCTTGTAACTGAAAATCAATTGATTGACAATTATGGAGAAGTATTTTGAAGGTACACTTCCAGCTCTAGTCAGCTGACTGATGCTGAAAGGGCATCTTAAAACGAGGTTGCTGTAGGGACACCAACCTGGTGCCCAAAGTCTTTCCTTGGCACCCCCAGACAGGTGCCCCAGACTCCCAGCTTTCATTAACACAAGTCTCTAGTCCTTTTAGAAGGAAAGTTATGGGTCAAAATGTGCAGGTACCTTCCAAAAGATTTCTGTGAAATGAATGTGAATGTGGTGTGGTCACTGTGTGTTTTTACTGGTACTTAGGAATGTTCCCTGTTGCTATTAGACAGCAACCGTTTGAGGGTTTGTCTTTATGTATGTTTGTAAAATCAGTCTTGTGTGATCTCCACAATCAGGACCAGCACATAGCTATCTTCCTATGGTAAGCATAGAGATATTAGGGGTGGCCGTTTTTCTAATTTTGTGCTACGTCATGCTTCCAATGACAGCCATTTTGTGACTGACACCCCACCACACTCTCAGAATTCAAAATGTTGCCAATGAGTCCAAAATGGTTTGTGACCATCCTTTTTGTCACACCATCTTTCATTGGTTACTGATTTATCCGTTAGGGTAGCCTCTTTTGAACAGGCAGGTCACCTAGCATCATTATGTCAGAAAATTGGCAGGTGTCAACCCTATGGGGGTTGTGAGGAGGTAACCAGCCAGTCGGATCCAGTTACCCACCTCTAATCTACACTGATTGGCAATGGCTCTCCGGGATTTCACACGGGGAGCATTTCCAAACCTACCTGTAGTTGCTGTGGATTAAACCTTGCACTGTCTGCGTGCAAATCAGATGCTCTATCACTGAGCTGTGGTCTGTAAATTTAGTGGACCTTTTCAGTTCCTTTATACTTCAGTGGACACATTCTACTAGTCAGTGAACCTTTTCTGTTTTGTATTTACGATTTCTCTGTGATCCTTTTTGTCTGGATTTGCTTCCTGATAAATGTGGCCTGCCAGCATGTGACAGGATAGCCTCAGCCAATTAAACAGGAGACCTGGGGCTGTAATTGCAACCCATCGTGCCTGGCCTCTTTCAGACACAGAGTCTTCCTTTGCCTCATTCTTATGCTCCACTGTATCTTCCATTCTTCTTCTTCTTCCTCTTCCCCCTCCTTCCTCCTCCTCTCCTCTCCTCCTCCTCCTCCTCCTCCTCCTCTACTTCCCAGCTTCAAAAGACTTTAACACTTCTTTGTTTCCTAGGGTGACATGCTTCTTGTGACCCCCTTTTCTTCTTTTAGGGCTGCCTCCTATAAACATAACACGAACCCATCCCATGCAAAACAATCTCATGAGTCATGAAAGAAAAGTTTCTATTTTACTTCACTTTTTCTTCATTTCTGAAATGATACATTGGCCTACTTTGGCGCTTTCCTACCATTTCCTTCTCTCTGCCCCCCTCCTTTCATATTTTTGTTTACTATTATGTCTGTCCTGAAGTGTGCTCTCCATTTTGTAACTTTTAGTTGGTCCTAGTAAGGTTATTATTCAGTTAATGCTTTGATTTTTTTATAGACCAGTGCAGCTGCAAACATTTTTCCAAAGTCTGTATCTCATGCAAGTTTATGCTCAATAGACAAGGTGGCATAACTGTTCTTGCCCATAGAGAATGCCTGCAGTTTTTGATGAGTGTTAACTTGCTGAAACTTCTTTCAACTTCTGCAACACACCCTGACACAGCACAGAAAATCCATTGGTTGTTGCTTTTTTTTTTTGTAAAATTATTTAATAAATAGGTTGAAGTGGTGTTTCATACTCTTCTCTGCTTCAAAAAAAAAAAAAGCAGACCTTCAAGAATTTTTTCAGATGCGACATTTTATAAGGAAAATTCTTATGAACCCACCTGGGATAGTTGTAAAGCGGATGTTTCTAGACATGGCAGTATGGTGACAATTGGTGTGTGCATTTGTGAACTAGACAGATACATACATTTTCGTACTGTAAATCCTACCAGCAACACTGCCTCCCATTGTCCCTGGTATCATTATGGTGTTTTGTTCCTCCTTCCTTTATATATGTGCACAAGGAACTCTGGAACTGGTAGCATTTGTGAGACCACGCCATATAGAGAGAAGGAAAATCTCTTGTCTTTCAAGCTACATGTTTTAGTTTGCCCACATAACCAACCCTCTAGTCGAGTGTTGTAACACAATAGGTGTGTTGTTTGGTTGTAACACAATAGGTATGTGGATACAGGAAAACAAATACCCTCAGGCATGATCTACAATTTAGCTGCTTTATAATGGGATTGCTGCCAGACTTCCATAGTTCCTTGGGTCCTGGTAAAGGGTAATTTTACCCCACCTCAGGGTTTGGGTCCTGCACTCAAATGGAGCCAGGAACTTTTTATTCATAGTACAAAATCTCCCTTAGTGCAGGAGTGAGGAACCCTTTTCAGCCAGAGGACTGCATGCTATCATTAGGGCATATTGAATTTTTCAACTTTCAAATTCCCAAAATGAGGGGTGCTAAAAAGTTGTAACATGACTTGGGAATTCAAAAGATATTTTGGTTAAGTTCATATAATTTAGTTTTGCTTTGTAAGTAAAATG